TGCACCCACCCCACATGGTTTCACGATAGTTTTGAGAAGTTGACTGGACAAAGTCTCTTTTCTTTTTCTCAGCGCATTCATTTGACTTGGCTTTTCCCTACAGCACCCTGCCACACACTGTCGGCTGTTTGAGCAGTACACGGCACAGGGAAATTAATCTGTCTGCCTCTTCCCTTCTTTCTAACATCTCAGATTCAGAGATAGGAAAAAGTGCTCTGGATATTCATGCCAATTCCATTTGGGTCAAAAATCCTACCTTCTTTCTTTTCCCTTGTCTCTCCTTTAATTTTCCAATTCCCCATTTCTTAAAAGCTAGAAAACCAGTAATTGCAGGCATACTTTGAATTTGCCTTTGTACCTGCCTTCTAAGAAATTCCAAAGTATTCACATATATTGCCTCAAATCCTCCAATTATGCAAGCCAGATCTTAAACATTACAAAGCTACATTTGGAAAATACACTGTTTTTAGAACCTTAAGACTATTGTTGAAATACTGAATGAGCAACATATTACTATCCTAAAAAGAAAATAAAATTTCCAAAGCATTATCACTATACATAGCGTGTATCCCATTTGCTCAAAAGAAAAGTGCTCGTGATCTGATTTGTCTTTAAAAGCGAGGCAGAGAGAAGACAAGCATAACTAGGCCCATTTTATAGGTGGGAAACTGAGAGCACAGGAAAACTATCAGACTTGTTCAAAGTTATAACAAAAATAGATGACAGAACAAGGACAGAGTTCTCAAGTTTTTAATCACCTGGGACTTCTTTTATTAAACCTATCACTACCAGAGAACTTCTGTTTGAAATAATTCTGCCTTCCCCTCAAAAAACCCTACATACATTGATTATTAACCCATGAATCTTTATAATAATTAGTTCACCTAGGTTTTTTAATTAATTATATATAACTTTACCAATCAGTGCTTTTTTGTGGGAACAACCATAACTAAACCAAATTGCTATGGTTCCAGGCAGCAGCAATGTAAAGTGACCATTTCATTAACCTAAGCATCTCTGGGCAGAAATAGCCATTTTCTTCAGCTTTTTCAAATACTAAAAATCATTCCTGGAAATCCATTGCTCCCCTTTTGAAGTTCAGGTCCCCAAGGACCCTAGATCAGGACCCACTAGCCTTATAAACTTCATTGCAGTAGTTGTCAAACTTGTGCATCAGAATCACCAGGAGGGTTTGTTAAAACACAGATTCTTGGTTCCTACCTGCAGGGTTTCTGATTCTGTATATCTGCATTGGGCTCAAGAATTGGAATTTCTTTCTTATTTATTTATGAGTTGAAGTCTCACTCTGATGCCCAGGCTGGAGTACAGTGGCATGATCATGACGATCACAGCTCACAACAGCCTCGACCTCCTGGGCTTAGGCAATCCTTCTATCTCATCATCTGGAGTAGAAATGTACCACTAAGTCTGGTTAGTTTGGGGATTCTTTTTGTAGAGACGAGGTGTCACTATATTGCCCAGGTTGGTCTCGAACTCCTGGGCTCAAGTAATCCACTCACCTCAGGCTTCTAAAGTACTGGGATTACATGGTTGAGCCATTTCACCTGACCAAGAACTGGAATTTTTAACAAGTTTCCAATTGATGCTGAAGATGCTGGCCCAGGGCCCACACTTCGAAAACACTATAGTAGTTGCTCCCCTAAGTCTCTGATGCTTTGATTCTCCCTCTCGATCCTCCTAGTAGCAATGGAGCTGGATTCTCTCTGACCTGGGCAGTGAGCAGTCCCTTTGAGAGATATCAGACCCTACAGGGCACAGCCCTGCACAAGGCACAGCTCTGCCTCTGCTCCCAGAGTGGCCAGGCACCCTACCCTGTGTTAACAGTCAGACCCCTGCCTTCACTGAGTTGTCAGTAGCCCCTCAGCCTGTTTTCTCCTCTGTCTGGGATCCTGTTCGAGCTGTGAGGTTAGAGAGGAGAGCAGAGGACTGCAAGAGGCCTGTTCTTATCTCAAAATCTTTTTCTAAGCTCTAAGTAAGCAAATGTTTATACGTACAGCTGACCCAAATTAGCCGGAGATTTGGGGACAGAAATAGGAATAGCCTGCAAGGAAACTCTGAGGCGAGAACACGAATTCTCTTGTGAGGAGCGATTAATCTTCCTCCAGGGGGACCGAGTTAGATGTGTGGCTGACTGAATTTACAACAGCATTTTAATCTGAAATTACATGGACTTGTTTTTTTAATTTAGAAATTCAAATTCCTTTTCGATCTTAAATGTCAAAGTCCTTTAAATACAAATTTTGCCATTTGATACTCTCAGGGCTGGCAGCAAAAGTGGTTTTTTAAGTGTTTTCCAAAAAGTCAACTGGAGGGAGGGGGGGTGGGCATCATGGCTTTTGCTGGCCCTCAAGGGAGGTGGCTAAAACCCACAATTTCTGGAGTCATAGAGAAGGCAAGCTTCAACCCCAGGGCCATTGCAGGGTAATTTTCCATGGTGTGACCTCAAGCTGGTGTCTACTATAACACCTCTTAAGCCATGAGAAGAGCATGTGGTAAAATGCAGTGTGTGGACTGCATTGGTTTTCTTCCCAAGTCCTTGCTAAATGGACATGGCTTCTCCCACCCTATGGTAGAAGGTTCCAGAAGACCTTAGTCCTCCTGGCATTAGAGAAGTGGACTGGGTGAATCATTTCACAGGGGAATTATTAACACCAGGAAGAGATGAACTAGAGTTCTACAAAGCTGATATACAAAAAAAGCAATGTTTCTTAAAACAATTAATAAGCTCTGCTAGTAAGGATCAAAGCACCTCAGGGACAAGAGAAACAGATAAACTCCTCAGAAGTCCCAAGTCCAATTAAAACCAATTGTGTTGGGAAGGTAAGAGAGACCTCAAGATATATTCATACTGTTGCCTTTGGGGAGCTTCATGAGTAAAAGAATATGTTACTCTTTTTAACCACTTAATAAGGTCTCACTAAGATCAATTTCTTTTCTAGATTATGTAAGTAATTAAACTATATCAATATAAAATATCTAACTAAATGACTACCAGGGACTAGGACAGAGCTAAAGATCTATTGGTTCAGATTGTATAGATTTGTAAGAGCCCACTGGACTTCAAGCAGACTTTGTATCATTTGGTTGCTTGGGGGGAAAGGAGTTGCTTTTTCAGAGCTCCCTCAACATAAACTCCAGCTGTGATTAAATGCAGGAAAAGGCAAGCCTCCTTATTAAGAATGGTGACCAGACCCAAATCAGAGAAAAAGTATGAGCAACACAGGAGAGCCGCTCATTTATTTCTCACAATCACTGAGTAGAAAGAAACAGTGGGGAAAAGGTCATCTAAAATGGCAGTTTTGTAGAGAATCCCATTTTGAAAATGAAAAGAAATCAAAGATACTTGAAAAATCAGCTTCCAGAGTGGTAGAAAATGTGATATTCAAGCAACATATTCATTTTTTTTCTTCGTGTAAGCGGGGAAGCCTCTTAATCTCTGGTCAAAGTGAGAAGTGGTGTGCCTGTCAACTATATTTGGCACAAGGCAACCAGCGGGGACTGTTCTGCATGTTTTTTTGGGCAACACTGTCAATGTTAGGATGAGGCAGAGAGGTTTATAAAGAGCTCTTTATAAAGAGCATGTCTTATTAACTTCCCAAACAGCATCCTAAATAGAGGGTAATGTGGCCGACCACCATTATGGTGGCCATCAGCAGACCATGTCCTCTTGTTGTCCAGCAAGCCCTGCTGAAAACTGTGTTCAGATTTAGCATGGTCTTAAGAGCTGAATGAGGTATACACACACACACACACACACACACATTGATCTGGCCACACACACACACACACACACACACACACACACACACACACACACACACACTGATCTGGCCTAACTTTTGTGTTGACCAAGATTTGGAAAAATATTTTATTGTTTGCAGTTTAAGAGTGGATAGCTGATAGAGTAATGTTAGAACTCTGAATCAGATGATCCATCAACTTGTCTGGACTTCTGATTCAGGAAAAATAAATCTATGCAATTCTTTAACTACTGATCCACCTCATCACTTATTATGAAAAGTGCTTATTGGACTCTGATTGAGATTTTTTTCCAGAGGACCAGGAAAATCAATGCAAAATGTAGAAATTTTAGAATGATGTTCTGCTTCTCTGTTCAGTCAAAGGAGTTTACTAAATCACCATGAAGAAGAGCTATGAAATAGTGATGAGGAGGATTTATTGGAAAGAGCGAAGGCTGCTATTTGGTCCAGGCTGTTCACAGCTGTTGTGTGTTATGCGACCAGTGCCTGTGTCTACTGGCTGTTAATATTTTGAATATCACAACTTAAAAGACGTTAGGGTTGTCAGAGAATCTATGCTCGTAACCCTAACTATGCGATCCTGGGCAAGTCGATCTATTTCTGTAGATCTCAGTTTCCCCATTCTGTTCAGTGTTGCAGTTAGACTTCCCTATCTCCAAGGTCCCTTCCAGCCCTCAAAGTCTGATTCTCTGCTTTTCACTCAACACCCTTGGCTGCATGTTCCTGACCTACCAGCCACATACTTTGTCCAAAGGACAGCCCCTTCCTAGAATATGCCACCCATCCCCCAACATATACAGGTCACAGCCATTCCCCCAGCCTTTTGCACTTAAAGACAAAGCAAAGTCAAAGAGGGTATTAGTTATCCCAGTCTACTCCTCTCCCACAAACCCCAGAATGCTACTCCTGTTCCCAGTTTTCCAGTAGCCACTCTACTTCCTCAGGAACTTGGAATGCCCTGCCTCCGTCACTTCTCTCCCTGTTGCACACTCTGCCTCTGCTGCTCCCCTTGTTTGAGGCCTCAGTTCCACCTTCCTCTGTCTCTGATGGCTTCAGGGCAGATGGCGTCCTTCAGGCCTGCCTCTTTCATTGCTTGTGGCCTAATAAAGGCGATCACCTCCAAACTGTGCATAGCTCAGCAAGCACACAGCAAACCCCACGATACTGACCAATGCCCTTAGCCTAACCTCTGCTCATGTTTTTGTCTTTCTGTTTCAGCACTGAAAAGCCCAACTGAATTCCATGAACAAAGAAAAACTTTGGATAGTGACAAGGTAATTTCTGCAAACTGCCTTTTCAGAACTTTGACTATAGATTATAGATCTCTAAATGCTAAACTTTAGCTGATAGATGAAGAATTTCTGCAACAAACTCAATTGATTTGTCGGTTCCCTGGCCCCAAATCATATAGAATCTTACTCCGAGTAACTGAAAACTGGAAAAATAGGATCAACTATATTAGCTTTGAAACTGCTATTTTTTAGCCTTTTTTTTTAGAAAAAGTTCCCAATCTTTCTAATGTTGAAAGATATTACAGCAAGGATGAGTTAAAGGTCAAGAAGATTTATAAAAGGGAATAAAGTTGGTTTGCAAGCTGTTACCCTTTATTACTTTTCTTTCTTAGCAACAATCAGATTTGTTAAAATCCAACTCATGGTAAGGTGGGTCTGTGGATACAGAGCTTGCTTGTAGCTTCTTAAAGGAAAAGGAATTCTGTTCATCTCTCTTCTTTTTAACATTTAAGGAAGAAATTTGGCATGTATTCTGCACCTTCAAAACAAATTTCTTCAACCTGAATTTATCAATAATATAAATACTATTTAGCAAGCATCAACACTATGAGTGGGAGGGGAAGACAAAGGGGGTGTCTGTCTGCTGGGATTTCTTTGCCTTAGAATTCAAGCCTTGCAACGTGTCTGTGGGTAGAGAGAAAGAGCAGGGATCTACAACTCTTGAAAGCAGCTCATGAGTGACTCTGACTCCTACTACCTAGGGAATAACAAAGAGCAGTAGTCTGCCTTTTATCAGAACTGGAGTGATCCCCAGACCCCTCCTAAGGCCCCAGAAGAGATTCACTATAGTGAGATAAAACCCAGATCTAGAAATCAGGTTCCTGGAGTCCCATGTTAACCCTTCCACAGCCTACAGCAGCTCCACATTAAGATAATAAGACTCAGTAAAGGACTTATCTCTAAATGCCCTCCCAACTCACGGTGGGCCTAGATCTGCAGGCTTTATATTTCCACAGGTCTAAAAGAGAAATCAGGTGATCTAGAAATCAGAGTCCTGGGATTCCATATTGACCCTTCCGCAGCCTACAGACAGTTCCACAAGAAGATGATAAGACTCAGTAAAGGACCTATCTCTAATTGCCCTCCCAACTCATGGTGGGCCTAAATCTGCAGGCTTTATATTTCCACATGTCTGAAAGAGAAATCAGGCGAATAGCAGGAAAGGAACATATGTTGTCATGTTGTATTAGATGGATTTAGGCAATGTTTTATTTTTGACCTTGGTTAATTTTGTGACTATCTTAAGAAGGAGTGGAATAGGATTGATTATAAGAGTCTTAGTATTATAATGATTATATTAATATTTTATTAACATGTACCTATCTGCCTGGCCATGGAAGGCCTTTAAGCTTATACCTCTGATGCAGACCCAAGATTTTTACCTTTTTATCTTATTTTCCTGTACAAAATTATATGACAGTCCTTTGTAAGTGTTTATCAAAGCACAAAAAATTAGGCAAATTTGCATGCTCCATTTGTCATTTAAAACATACTTCTTCCTTTTGAGAGAAACTGGGTATTTTTTTAAAAGATAAAACTAGATCTTTGTTTGGGCCCTACAGACTGAAAATTCCCTGAAGCACAAAGCCAGAAGTAGGTCCAACCGTGCCGACTTGGTTAATATGCACATACTCCAAGGTAAGGCTGCATGAAATTGGAAGCAAGGAGATGCCTGTTGAATGCTGGGCTATTTTACCAGAGTTGTTTGTTTCTGACTGTTGCTAAACCCTCTTAAAAATCTCCCCTGCCATTACAAAGTAGTAGATTCAAGTTGTCATCTAATCATTCCAAGCCATGTAGATAATCAAATTGGGAAGTCATATAGCATCAAGAAAGTTTGAGACTTAGGTTCCAATCTCAGATGTGCCATCTCCTAACTCTAAGGTCTGGGAAAATCATGTGACCTCTTGGAGTGCACAGGGAATGTCCAATACTTGTTAACAATTATGATTAATCTGGGTCATCATTCACTCTGAGATGGGATCAAGGTTCTCTAGCTGTGTCTATATCTACTAGATAACTTTGTGCTTTGCCGATGCCTTTACACTGTAGTGTGCAGAGGATGACAGTGTGAGAAAATGAGTGCTGATCATAGCAGCCCCAGTGTTATCTTAGGGTGCCACCTTTATGCCAGGGAATGTGAGACAAGGTAAACACCTGACAGGCCCCCATATTCTGACGTGTGGATGAGGAGGAGAGGCTTGTGCTCCTGCTTCATGTGTTGCCTTCCTTAGGATGGAAATCCCCTAGATCCTTGATGCCCATTTTCAAAGAGGTCCAATCCCTAACTTGACAGCTTAACTACAAAATATTTTTTCATTGAATTCACACGGTATAGGAAGTCTGCTAGGAGTCAGCTACTCTGCCAGACCTGTGGGTAGAGTGACAAATAAGCTACAGTTTCCCTCCCTCAAAGGAGTCTCACGGTATAACAGAGGAGGTGAGAATCACATCTACAATACAGCACAAAAAGAGACAAAAAGACATGATGTTTTAGGTGTATAGTAGAGGATCAGAGAGAAGAGGCATCTGATCAGTATGGATGGATGGGGGAAGAGCTTGAAAATGAGCTAGAAAGTGAAGGCTCAGTCAGGGAAATAAAGACAGAAGGGCATTGTAGCCTGAAGGAACAGCATGTACAAGGCATGAGCACTACTTCTCTAGAAGGCGGATTTTCTTGCAAGACTGTACACTAGCTTTAAGTAGCAAGAAAAGCCTGACATGTCATGGAAATTGTGAATCTTGCTTGGTTCTTTAATGGGCATCATTTCTGAGTTATTCTGGCTTCTCAAGGCTGACCCATTGCCAATCCTAAAATAGGTGGGATATTATCAGATGAAGAAGTTTTCAGGGTAAGGAAGAAAGAGGACAACATAGAACTCCAGGGAAGGGCTATATGGGATGCAAGATTTTGACCTACATGAGGCAGCCAAAGGATGCCAAGTGTCTCAGGAACGGGGAACAAAGGCTGTCAAGAGGGGTGACAAAATTCTTACCTCTTTTCGCAATGGTGAAAAGCCTAGAAGCAGCTGCTGTGTCAGCACAAAATCACAGCTGCGCAAATAATCCAAGAAATGCCATTTCAAATGAGAGACAAACTTTCCAATGATCAAGTTAGAAGACAAAAATAAATATTGTGTGTGGCAATAGTATGGGAAGTGCATGAGTTCTCACACACTGCTGGTGGGAGTGCAACTGGGTCAACATTTCCAGAGGGCAATCTGGCAATGTGTATCAAACTCCTTAAAAATCTACCCACCCTTTAGCCCTGCCACATAACTTCTAGTGTTTTACTCAAAATAATCAGACAAACAAATATTTTTGTATTTATCATAAAATCACTTTAGATAGTGAAACATTAGATATGTTAAAATACCCAGCAATAGGGGATTGGCAGAATAAATTATGAATTATCTATAGGATTGAATAACATGTAGGTACTACAAAAAAACCTTTGAAAGAATAATAATTTCATGGCCAGGTGCCATGGGTCAGCCTGTAATCCCAGCACTTTGGGAGACCGAGGGGAGAGGATTGCCTAAGCCCAGGAGTTCGAGACCAGCGTGGGCAACTTGGTGAGACCTTGTCTCTACAATAAATCATAAAAACTAGCCAGGCGTGGTGGTGTGCATCTGTAGTTCCAGCTACTTGGAAAGCTGAGATGGAAGGATTACCTAAGCCCAGCAGGTCAAGGCTGCAATGGCCATGAGTGTGCTACTGCACTCCAGTCTGGGTGACAAGAGTGAGTGAGACTTCAACTCAAAAAAAAAAAAAAGAAAGAAAGAATAATGATTTCTGAGAAAAGGCTTACAAGATAATGTTTAGTGAAAAGATTAGGAAACAAAACTATATTTACAGCCAAATTCTGGAAAGAAAAAATATACAATAAACTGTATTTATAGTCATATACTGGAAAGAAAACATATAAACTTAACAATAGGTATAAATAACTAAGAAAGACACTGAAGTCTTAAAAGATTGTTGCATGTAAGTAGGGAGTTTTCTGAGGCTCTCATTTTCTTTTTCATACTTTTTTTAGCATTATTCACATTTATGACAATGAGTACATAGCAATACTATAATCAAAAAAGCATATGAAATGTTATTTATCCTATCATTGCAGTTTTTAATGAAAACATCAGGATGTGAACCACAACAGCCTTTGGTTTGGTTGTATGTCTCTGGTAGCTGTCATGGAAGCCTCTCTTCTCACTAACAGAAATTGGGAATTAGCTCCCTGGAGCACCAAAGATCTGCTAGATACAAAATGACCCCTGCCCTCCAAGCGTTCATTGTCTAATTTCAGAAGCAACAAGATGAAGGGCCAGTGCTAGCAACTGCTGGAGGCAGTCAAAGCAAAAGGAATCTGAAAGAACACTTTCTGTCCTTACTCAGTTAGGAAGGTTTTATTCTAGGACCCCAAAATAAGATGTCTGTGATGAGGAGTAAAGGAGAAGTTCGAGGTGAGGAAATGAAGTAAGCAAAGGTGCAAAGTGAAGATATAGAGGACAGAAAGAAAAAAAACAGGCTCTCTGGAGTGATAAGCTTGGTTTGGAGGTCATGATGGGAAGTGGGCATGGTTTGTAGCAGTCCTGAAACACCAGACAGAAAGACTTGTATAGAAGGGAGCATCTTATAGTGGGATGCAAAAAGAAAAGAGGACATTCTGGAGACAGTCCTAAGTTGGTGTGCAGGATAGGTCAGAGGAATCTCGGAGGCAAGTGGTCCAGCAAGAAACTCTTACAAAGACCTTCTAAGGGGAGAGGATTTAGGTTTAGCACCCCCATCCTTTGGTTTGGAATACTAACATTCCCTGTATCTCATGTGAAGTTCTTCAAAGACGCAGCTTCTAGACAAGCCTACCCTGCTGTAACTGAGCCATTCTTAGACATCTTCTGTAGGAAGAATTCGAGATTAATGCCAGATACAAAGTCTAGGTTGGTAGGTTGATAAAGATAGACTAATGGGGCTGGGAGACTTGTCTGTAAATATCTCTCATGTTCTAGATTTTTTGAAGCTGAGTGAAGCTGACAACTCTTATAGAATCTTAATTTACAGTTTTCCACTGAGCAATAAGTTGGTTAAATTCTCCTCTGAGTTCTTCAAAGAAATAAGTCAGGGTTCAACCTAAAGAGGAATTTTGGTGTCAGCTGTGTGGGGGTGAATTTAGGACTCTGTACGTGATCTTTCTTGGTCCCCAAATCTGAGAAATTGCCTGCTGGATAAATTACGTTTTTAAAAATTCCTCTGTTTCATTAAATAAACATTTTTAAAGATTTTTTTTTCTTTTAAAACTGGTCTGGACATTTAACTCAGTCAGTATCACAGCACTGACTAGCCTAAAACCCTTTAGGAGTGATACTACTATTATTAATTATAACAATAGATGTCTACTGCAGGCTCAGTCTGTGCCAGTCACTATGCAGACTGAATGTGCATCCAACAGGCAAGCAACGTAGGCCCTGCAGACTATTTGATTACAAAATCACCAAATTGCACATTTTAAACAAATCCTCACAAAGCAAGTTTCTCTAACTTTTCCATGTGTCTATCTATTTGCCTTTATTTGGAAGTGTCTAGTCTTTGGTGCTAATCCTTGTGAAGTGATGATGATTGCATTAAAACCTTATTAGGATGGTAGAGCACAATGTTTTATAACCACAAGCCAAAAAATAAGACATCACATTCTAGAACTTATCCTTTTCATTTCAACCCTTTAGCCTCGAATGCAGAGAGGTCCATTCCAACTGCTCAGATGAAGCTGAAAAGAGCCCGACTCGCAGATGATCTCAATGAAAAAATTGCTCTCCGACCAGGGCCACTGGAGCTGGTGGAGAAGAACATACTCCCTGTGGATTCTGCTGTGAAAGAAGCCATAAAAGGTAGTTAGAATAAATGGCATCCCTTTCGCTTATGCTCTTGAGAGCTGAGGGCACCCCAAACTCTGACATTCTAGGGGCTTTGAGGGTGAAGGTCTCTCACTAGACAATAGCATGCCATAGGTTGTTGTCCCAGCATGTCCCTCATAATCAGAGGTCCTAGACGTTTCTTCCAACTTTCATTCCCATTCACGCCAACATCAAGTTAACATAGGCCAGTTTTGCCAGTCAGGTAGGTTGAAAACTTCACCAGACATAATCCTCGAAAACCTCCCCTACAAGATTCTATCACTTAGGAGTCATGATCATGACTCTCTTTAGCCTTCCTCTTTTAAAGAAGAGTGGATTGGTATAGTAAATCAACCACTGGCCCAAACCTGAAGACCTGGGTTTCAAGTCTAGTTGCCCAAATCACTTCACCTCGCTGAGATGGAGATGACCCACCTTGCCCAGCTCACAGGCTTCTGGGAATAAAGTTTATACCATACAATGCATGTGAAAATTCTTTGACAACTTTCATGTGCTCCATGAAGTCTAAGTACAAATACTCAAGGAGGGGACACAAACATGTATTCTGTCACAAAATATGTAAAATGATTTTGTAGACTTTTTGAACTGGTGCCAAGTGAACCCAAACAAAGGGGAGCTTAGCATTCCCAAAGGCAAACTTACTTTCTTCCAGTTATGCTGACAAATGACTCTGAGAACTATTAATAGATATTGATAAGCAATATATATTTAAATGTTCCATGCATTGTATGTATATGGGTGCTTTATTCAAAATTAAGTTTATTGTGAAACTTACCAAGTTTATTTACCCTCTAAAATCTGGCTTTCACTTAGTCATTCAGAGGCCATGTGAATTTTGCCTTTGGAACCTGTAAATTTGAAAATATCAACCTCAGGAAAGGGGACACACTTATCTATCAGTGACTATTTAAATTTCCCACTGTGATTTTTTTCTCTCTTCTTCACTCTCTCCCTCCCCACTAAACATCCTGTGTCTTTGAATTTGGACTAGAGTACTCAAGAGTGTACTATCATTATCTTAACTCTAAAAAGATCTTGGACAGGAGAAAGTCTCCATTGGGTATCTCTTATCATTTCTTAAAACATTCTGTCCTATGCATGTAACTTTATGATTTTTTGGGGGGGCGGGGTTCAGAGTCTCACTCTGTTGCCCAAGCTAGAGTATGGTGGCACCCTCACAGCCACCGCAGCCTCAATCTGCTGGGCTCAGGCAATCCTTCCACCTCAGCCTTCCAAGTAGCTGGAACTACAAGCACGTGCTACCACACCCAGTTTATTTTTTATTTATTGTAGAGACAAGGTCTCACCAAGTTGCCCAGGCTGGTCTCAAACCCCTGAGCTCAGATAATTCTTTCGCCTTGGCCTCCCAAAGTGCTGGGATTACAGGCTTGAGCCACTGTGCCTGGCCTTGTGATTTTTTTTATGTATAATAGGTAAAAGATTTCCTTTTAATTTTCATCCTTTGGTTTATAGTGAGATATTTTTCCTTGTGATTATGTATCATTGGTAATTCATGGCTTTTTCTTCTTTTTCCTGCTGGGCATGTTCCTCCTGCCTGCTTTGTATATGCTATTTATATAGGAGGAAAGTGCTAATCTTCCATCTGTCACAGGCATTACACATCCTTTTACCGGTTGTTCCTTTTGACTTTATGCGTAATGAGTTTTACCTATAGCAGTTATTATTTTCTGTATAGCTAAATTTAGTCATCTTTTTCTCTTTCTATTTTAAAGATGTGGGGTACAATTCAGGTTTAGATATACAAATGTTCATTATGCAGGTACCCTTGCTGATAAGGTGCACCCCCCCTCCCCCGACAGATTCCCACTACTTCCAATCCCGCCCCTGCCCTCCTCTGGCAGTTTTCCACTACTGCATCTTTTTTTTTTTTTTTTTTTTTTTTGTAGTGTCTGAATTTGTTTTTATTGAAAATGTTTTCTAGCTCAAGAATATAGAGATTATTCACCTAGATTTTTTTCCTAATGTTTATATACTTTATTTTTACATTTAAACCCTCAGTTCATCTGAAATTATTTAAGGGCTTGATTTAAGATTCAGGTCTAATTCTATTTTTTTCACAATTCTATGATGTGTTTTATAATTTGTCTTAATATCGGTCTTCACAAGTTTCTTTACATTGGTCTGATCTCTCTAATGTTTCTTGGCTACTCTCACAAGTGGATTTTAAGTGAAAATTAGAATCAGTTTTTCATTGTAGAAAAATTCCTATTAGAATTTTGTTTGGGATTGCAGCAAATGTATATATTAATTTATGGTGAATTCATATCCTTAAAATATGCTAGGTTTTTCCAACGGAGAAATAAAGTATCCCTCTCCACTCATTCAAGTCTTCTTTTCTTTTCCGTAGCAAAGATTTTTATTGTTGTTTTTTAAGTAAACTCATAATGATTATTGCTGACATATGGGAAACCTAGCAATTTGGCATTTATTTTATAACTGGGCAGCTTTGAAGATTTTGTTAGTAGCTCCAGTAGTTTCTCAGTTTATCTTAGGTTGTCTAGATACACAATCATACATCTATGAATTTATTTCCTGCTTCATTTGCTTTTTGCCTTGGTCCACTGGCTAGTACTTGAAAAGCATTATCATGGTATTAATATATTATATAATTAATATCATTTTTACAGTACATGTAGTCTATTAATAGTATAATTTTATGCATTTTATTTATAATATATTATGTCTTTATATTTGTCAGTTATATTGATTAGAATGTAGAATATAGCCAGGCTCGGTGGCTCAGCCTTTGGGAGACTGAGGTGAGTGGATTGCCTGAGCCCGCGGGTTCGAGACCCTCCTGGGCAACTTGGCGAGATCTCATCTCCACAATAAATCAAAAAATTAGCCAGGCGTGGTAGCGCACGCCTGTAGTTCCAGCTACTCGGAAGGCTGAGGCGGAAGGATCGCCAGAGCCCAGCAGGTCGAGCCTGCGGTGGCCGGGAGTGGTCACTGCACTCCAGTCTGGGTGACAGAGTGAGACTCTAACTCAAAAAAAAAAAAAAAAAGAATGTAGAATATATTATATTACACAAATTAAATACCATATTTTATACAAAAATCTATATCATAAATAAATATTTTCTTATATATAAAATTATGTGCATGAATTATATAAAACACAATTATATTATGCAATAAATATTAATATATAGTTTAATAATTATTGATATATTACATACTACTATTATTATCACATTGTGAGTGCCACAAAAGCAACATAATTATTATATTATGTTGTGCTGTGTTCTATGTTATGTTATAATGTTATGTTATGTTATATTAATGGTGACATGTATTTTTGTTTCACCTAGTCACCTAGTCATTCACCTCTATATATGATATTAACTTTTGGCATAAGACAAATATTCTAAAGAAGTATCTTTCTATTCCTATTCTACTAAGAATAGTTTGCAAGATGAATGTTGAGGTTTTCAAAAGTTTTTAAATGTATGAAAATATTATGACATGGGTTTTCTCCTTTGGCTTAATAATATGCTATTGCTACCTTTCCTAATCATCTTTGAATTTCTGGACAAAAATACATCTTTTTTTGTTTGTTTTTTTAGAAATTGCTAGTATTTTATTTGGGATTTTGCATCCATTTCATTATCAGTCGTGATATTACTAACTGCTAAACAACCACAAAACTTCAGCAACTTAACAAGAGAAATTTATTTCTCACTCATAAACAGCCCGGGGAAGGTTTTCCTCTATGGCGGGTCCCCCATGGCAAACTCCTTCATTCAGTCTTGTGCTCTACCATTCCCTAGAACAAGGGTAGCACTTTTTCTTAAAGGACCAGATAAATTAATTTAGGCTACCTCTGTCACAACTTCTCAGCTCTGACATTGTAGCACAAAAGTAGCCATGACAATAAGTAAACAAATGGACATGACTGTGTTGCAATAAAACTTTATGTACAGAAACTGGCAGCAGGTACACAGGCTTTTGTTTGCCAACAAGGCCCTAAAGGCCTGTCATCCTCTAAATGTATCCAGTGAAGGGAAAGGAAAGGATGAGAAGCCTCATTCTCTTATTAAAAGTCTCAACCTAGAAATGAACACTCACTTCCACTCACATTCCACCAGTGCATATGGCTGAGAGAGGTTGTTCTCTGACTGAACAGCCATTTCCAGCAATATCTCCATATTACAGAAGGGGGAACATGACAATAAATAGTTAGTCCTGTCTGCCACAATATTTATAAATGACATTGTATTATGTTGTTGCTGTTTTATATTTATCAGATTTAAAGCTATATATACATCACAAAATGTTACAATTTCCTTTTCATATTTTTCCTCATTCTGGAAACATTTAAATGTGGTCATAATGATCAGTTGCTTTGAAACATTGCATATTAAAATCATAGGGGCCAGTACTTTCCTCAGGAGTAGTTTTTTGAGACTTGTTTTCAGTTTTGTTTCAGTTAGTTATTTGTGTATTCAATTTTTCTCCTTAAATTAATTTGTAAGCCGGGCTCAGTGGCTCAGCCTGTAATCCCGCGCTTTGGGAGGCTGAGGTGAGTGGATTGCCTGAGCCCGCGGGTTCGAGACCCACCTGAGCAACTTGGCGAGACTTCATCTCTACAATAAATCAAAATATTAGCCAGGTGTGGTAGCACACGCCTGTAATTCCAGCTACTTGGAAGGCTGAGGCAGAAGGATCACCGGAGCCCAGCAGATTGAGGCTGCAGTGGCCGGCAGCGGCCACTGCACTCCAGTCTGGGTGACAGAGTGAGACTCCAACTCAAAAACAAACAAACAAACAAACAAAACAAAAGTTAATTTATACAATTTACCTTTTTCTAAAAATTCTCATTATCCCCCTGAATTTCTTATTAGCCTCAAGTAGTATATTAGCCTCAACTTATTAGCCTCAAGTAGTATATTAGTATTGGCTTACAATTGTCGTAAGTTTCTCTGAATGTGGGGTTAGATACCACTTTTTAG